GCATGCAAGGCAAGCACTCTACCACTGAGCCAACTTCCCAGCCCGACTCTCTTTCTTAATTACCATAAATTCTCTGTAATTCTGGTATCATAGATTTAAGCTTGTAATTTTGAGTTGTAGTGCAGTTGCTCTTCTGCAGAAAGCTTTAGGTGGGATGGGTTTCATGGTTTGTGAACTAAGTGGTTATGGGGAACATAACTCTTTGGAGAACTAGGTCCTCTGTATAGACGAGTTATTCTGGTTTTTTTCTTGTTAGCTTATTACTAAGTGGTATTGATGCACTTTTTTTTTTTTAAAGGATATTGATATTAAGAAAGTAAATGGAGTACCTCAGTATGCGTTCTTGCAATACTGCGATATCGCTAGTGTTTGCAAAGCTATTAAGAAGATGGATGGAGAATACCTTGGAAATAATCGCCTCAAGGTAAATGTATTTTTATGGTGCTGTTAAGATTTGCTTTGTTTTTAAGATCTGGAGATTTTGTGCCTTATCTGAATTTTTAAGGGTTAATAGTTTTAGATAACCACAAAGGAGACGCACTTCCTTGCATTTCATACCTTCAGACCAGTGCGACTGATACATACTTAGGCAGGCAGGTGGCACTCTTGTTTCGTTTTAGTCAGGTTGTTCTCACTTAAGATGTTGATTTGGGGAGTTTAGGGTGTGGCTCAGTAATACTGTTTATTAGCATATGTGAGGCTCTGGGTACCACACACACACACAGCTCAGTAGTACTGTGCATGTGTGAGGCTCTGGGTATAGACATACACATTGGTAATGGATAAGATAGTTGAATAGTAAGTCTACTAATAAATTTCTCTTTTTATATTCAGCTGGGTTTTGGAAAGAGCATGCCTACAAACTGTGTATGGCTAGATGGGCTTTCTTCAAATGTGTCAGATCAGTATTTAACACGACATTTCTGCCGATATGGGCCTGTGGTGAAGGTAGGTGGGGGGGGGCTGTCATGTGGTCTTTATTTGCTCTGACTCCCTTGGTGTTCTTTCCTTTCAGTCACAGTTTCTAGTGTTGCCTTTTTCCTTCCATTTAGTAACTTGTGTCGTATTTTGTCCATTCAGGCATTTGTGTCGAGACTGGATTTAGAAAAGTATTTTGAAGGGCTGGAAGTACATCTCTGTGGTAGTGTTTGCCTAGCATGCACACAACCTTGAGTTCAGTCCACGGCACTGTAGAAAGGAAACCGGAGGCAGGAAAGGAGGAAACTGTTTTGAACTAGCTGAGACTTTTGAAATTTATGAAACTGTTCCAAAGTTAAATAAAATGTTTTTTAGAGTTGTGTCCCCATCCCTATCCCCGTACCCCCCCCCCACTTCTAACTAGGTGGTGTCCTTTGAGCTTTTTTGCTCTACCACTTGAGCTTCAGCTCCACAGCTGGTGTTGTTTGGTAGTTAATTGGAGATAATGAGTCTTATGGACCCAACTGCCTAAGCTGACTTTGAATGGCAATCCTCATATCTCAGCCTTCTGAGTAACTTAGGATTACAGGCGTGAGTCACTCGCACCCATCTACATACTTACCTTCCCTCCCTCCCTCCCTCCCTTCCATTTTTTTCTTTTTCTGTCAGTTGTGGGGCCTGAACTCTGGGCCTGGGCGCTGTCCCTCAGCTCTTCAGCTCAAGGCTAGTGCTCTACCACTTGAGCCACAGCGTCACTTCCGGCTTTTTTCTTTTTGCTTATGTGGTGCTGAGGAATTGAACCCAGGGCCTCATGCATGCAAGGCAAGTGCTCTACCACTGAGCCACCTTCCCAGCCCCATGGAATCAATACTCTTAATAATTGATAGATTGAAATAAAATGGTAAAGATACTGTTAGATAAATAGGTACCATATGCTTTAGTGACTGAGGTCTGCCTGTTTGAATAAAGTTTAAACGTTCTCCCTTTTTCTCTTGGAATTGTTCTCTCAATTTTGTGTGTATATATGTATATATATACACACACACACTATATATATATATATATATATATATATATATATATATATATATATATATACACACACACACACACACACACACACACATATACACACACACATTTTTTTTTTTTTTTTTTTTTGGTCAGTCGTGGGCCTTGAACTCTGGGCCTGAGTGCTATCCCTCAGCTCTTCAGCTCAAGGCTAGTGTGCTACCACTTGAGTTACAGCGCCACTGCTGGTTTTCTGATGGTTTATTGGAGATAAGAGTTTCACAGACTTTTCCTTTTCCTGCCTGGACTGGCTTTGAGCAGAGATCCTCAGATCTCAGCCTCCTGAGTAGCTAGGATTACAGGTGTGAGCCACCAGTGCCCGGCTTCAATATTTTTTTTGGGGGGGGGTTGGTCGCAGGGCTTGAACTCTGGGCTTGGGCGCTGTCCCTGCGCTCTTCAGCTCAAGGTGAGCATTCTACAGCTTGAGCTACAGTGCCACTTCTCCCGGCTTCAATTTTGTGTATAATACAGATCACTTGACTTAATGGATGCAGTTATTTAATTGCCTATCAAGAATCCTGACATTTGTTTCCGTTTTCCATTTTACTTTTTATTTTTTTTTCTTTTTGTGCCCATCCTGGGGCTTGAATTCAGGGTGATGTCCCTGAGGATTTTTGGTTTTGTTTTGTTTTTTTCCCTCAAGGCTAGCACTCTGCTGCTTGAGTGACAGCTTCGTTTCTGGCTTTTTGCTGGTTGATTGGAGATAACAGTCTTACAGACTTTCCTGCCCAGCTGGCTTTGAACCTCTACCTTCAGATTTCAGCCTCCTTAATAGCTAGGATTACAGGTGTGAGTTGCTAGTGTTCAATATTTTTTTTTAAGTAGTACTGGGGTTTGAACTCAAGACCTGGAGCTTGCAAGGCTGGTTCTCTACCACCTGAGCCATGCCTGTACCCTTCTGTTTTTTTGTTATTTATTTTTATTACTACTACAATTATTTCTTTTTGAGAAAAGATTAAAAAAAAATTTAAAAAGGCCAGTGCTAGTGGCTCATGCCTATAATCCTAGCTACTCAGAAGTCTAAGATCTGAAGGTCTGCAGTTTGAAGCCAGCCCAGTCAGGAAAGTCTATGAGACTCTTAACTTCCAATAAACTACTAATTGAGCTGTGGCTGAAGTGGTAGAGCACTAACCTTGAGCAGAAAAGCTCAGGAACAGTACCCAAGCCCTGAGTTCAAACCAAGGACCAGCACCAAAAAAAAAAAAAATTAATTAAAATAAAAAGCCCACTTTGGCCTTGAACTTATTATTCTCCTGTTCCAGCCTCCAGAAAGCTGATGTTAACCTGACCTTCCCAGTCTTTGGATGGTGCTCTTAAATTACATTTGTCAGGATTTCTGTACAGTTTGAAACATTTCAAGTTAACAAAATTTAGTTTCTGTTAGTGTTTCATTTGAAGTAAATTGCTGTTTTCTGAGTGTTCAACAGGGATATAATGTGAAAATTTTTCAAGTTTGATAATACTTTTTCATAATTAAAATCTGAAATTTAGGTTACCTATTTCTTTCTTTCTTTTTTTGAGGTTGATTTTGCAAATCGGGAAAGTCAGCTGGCATTTTATCACTGCATGGAGAAGTCAGGCCAAGATATCAGAGACTTTTATGAAATGTTAACAGAAAGAAGGTATTGTTACTTCATTGTATATTAATTGTTTCCAGTACTGGGAATCAACCCAGTGCTTTGTGCATGCTAGACTAGCACTGTACCTATAAGCTAGATCCCCAGCCTAAGAAGATAATAAATTTTAAACACAGGTTTAATTTTGTGAATGCAGTTTTCATGTGGCTTACAAGGGTGTTAGGATACTGTTTTGATTTCTCATTGAATTCTCCTATAACTTGAAAGTGTTACTGTTTTCTCAGAGTTAGGTTCCATTAATTTCCAGGACAATTCAGTGGTTCTTTTATTTATCCCTGTCCAATGGCCTTTACCTCCTAAAGTGAGGAGGTTAAAATTTGTTAGGGCAATGTCACTATACAGGGGCTTAAACTCAAGTCTGTTTGGAGTTCTACCACTTAAACCACACATCTACTTCTGGCTTTTTGCTAGTTAATTGGGGATAAGGAGTGTTGTGGAATTTTCTGCCCTGACTAGTTTTGAATTGTGATCACACGTCTCACCCTCCTGAGTAGCTATGATTACAGGTATGAACCACTGGCACTCAACTTACTTTCTTTTTTTTTTTTTTTGTCAGTTGTGGGGCTTGAACTCTGGGCCTGGGCGCTGTCCTTCAGCTCTTCACCCAAGGCAAGCGCTCTACCACTTGAGCTACAGCGCCACTTCCGGTTTTCTGGTGGTTTATTGGAGATAGGAGTCTCCCGGTCTCTTCCTGCCCGGGCTGGCTTTGAACCGGGATCCTCAGATCTCAGCCTCCTGAGTAGCTAGGATTACAGGCGTGAGCCACCAGTGCCCGGCTTGGCACTCAACTTTCTATTTCAATTGTTGAGATTTAATTTCCAAAATTCTTTATAAAAATGGACTAGCCAAACATCAGTGCTCAGAGCTACATGGGGTTAGGAGCTCCGGAGAGCTGGTACAGTTTAACAAGTAATTAATTGACACCAGAGTTTAAAACATAGAACTCTCTGATCTCACACATCTAACGCTAGGTATAATCTGTGTTTGGCAGAGAGGAACGAAGGGGATCCTATGACTATAACCAAGATCGGACATATTACGAGAGTGTTCGGACTCCAGGTACATATCCCGAGGACTCCCGGAGGGACTACCCAGCCCGAGGAAGAGAATTTTATTCAGAGTGGGAAACATACCAAGGAGACTACTATGAGTCCCGCTACTACGATGATCCTCGAGAATACAGGGATTACAGAAGCGATCCCTATGAACAGGACATTCGGGAATATAGTTACAGGCAAAGAGAACGAGAGAGAGAGCGTGAAAGATTTGACTCTGAGCGGGACAGAGACCATGAGAGAAGGCCCATTGAGCGAAGTCAGAGTCCTGTGCACTTGCGACATCCACAGAGTCCTGGAGTATCTCCCTCGCAGTCAGAGAGGTTGCCGAGTGACTCAGAGAGGAGGCTGTATAGCCGGTCCTCAGAGCGGAGTGGCAGCTGCAGCTCACTCTCCCCCCCACGGTACGATAAACTGGACAAGTCTCGTTTGGAGCGCTATACAAAAAATGAAAAGACAGATAAAGAACGAATTTTCGATCCTGAGAGAATGGAAAGAGAGAGGCGCTTAACACGGAAGGAGAAAGTGGAAAAGGACAAACCTGACAAACAGAGACGAAAAGGAAAACTTCATTCCCCTAGTTCTCAGTCTTCAGAAACTGACCAGGAGAATGAGCGCGAACAGAGCCCTGAGAAGTCAAGGAGTTCTAGTAAACTGAGCAGAGAGAAAACTGACAAAGAAGGAGTGGGGAAAAACCGCCTGGAGCTCATGCCTTGTGTGGTTTTGACTCGAGTAAAAGAGAAAGAAGGGAAGGTCATTGACCACACTCCACTGGAAAAGCTGAAAGCCAGGCTTGATACCGACTCCGCCAAGTCTTCTGTCCTGGACCAGAAAGTTCAGGCCTCCCAGACAGAGCCTGCAAAATCTGACTCTAAAGCAGAACCTGCTAGAGGAAAAGTGGTGAGGGAAAAGGTGCTTAGCCACATGGAAGTAGCAGATAAGGAAGGCAGGCCTAAGCCCAGGAAGCCTCTCAGGCCAGAGCAGACCCCTGAGGGCCTGAGTGCTGTGGACCTAGAGAAGCTGGAAGCCAGGAAAAGGCGATTTGCAGATTCCAGTTTGAAAGCAGAAAGGCAAAAACCAGAAGTCAAGAAAAGCAGTCCTGACATGGAAGATGCTCGTGTACTTTTAAAAAAGCAAGCTGACTTGTCATCGAGAGATATCATCCTGCTGCGGGAGGGGGAGTCTGAAAGGAAGCCTGGGCGAAAAGAAATTCTTAAAAGAGAATCTAAAAAAATCAAACTGGACAGACTTAATACGGCTCCCAGCCCTAAAGACTGTCAGGAGCTTGCTAGTGTCTCTGTTGGGTCTGGCTCAAGGCCCAGCTCAGACCTGCAAGCAAGATTGGGAGAACCAGGGGGTGAATCTGTGGAAAATCAAGAATCTCAGTCAAAAAAAGTCACCCCCTCCAAACCACAGCTCAAACAGCTGCAGCTCTCAGATGATCAGGGACCGGAGAGAGAGGATGGCAGGAAAAACTGTTGCAGTCTTCGTGAAGAAACATCTGAACGCAAACCAGGCCAAGAGAAACCACATGTGGTAAATACTGAAGAAAAAATTGGCATTGACATTGATCACACACAGAGTTACCGCAAACAAATGGAGCAGAGTCGTAGAAAACAGCAGATGGAAATGGAAATGGCCAAATCTGAAAAGTTCGGCAGTCCTAAAAAAGACATTGACGAATATGAAAAGCGTAGCCTTGTTCACGAGGTGGGCAAACCCCCTCAGGATGTCACCGATGACTCACCCCCCAGCAAAAAGAAAAGGATGGATCATGTTGATTTTGATATCTGCACCAAAAGAGAGAGGAATTACAGAAGTTCACGCCAAGTCAGTGAGGATTCTGAAAGGACTGGCTGTTCTCCCAGCCTCCGCCATAGTTCCTTCCATGAAGATGATGACCCCCTCGGCTCTCCTAGGCCTACAGCAGTAAAAGGGTCTCCTAAAGCAGATGAAAAAGGTCTCCCCTATTCTAATGTAACAGTGAGAGAAGAGTCCTTAAAATTTAATCCTTATGACTCTAGCCGGAGAGAACAGATGGCAGACATGGCCAGAATAAAGCTGTCTGTCTTGAATTCTGAAGATGAGTTAAATCGTTGGGACTCTCAAATGAAACAAGATGCCAGCAGATTTGACGTGAGCTTCCCAAACAGCATCATTAAGAGAGATAGCCTGCGAAAGAGATGTGTGCGTGATCTGGAGCCTGGGGAGGTGCCTTCTGATTCGGACGAAGATGGTGAGCACAAATCCCACTCGCCCCGGGCTTCTGCAGTGTATGAGAATTCCCGGTTGTCTTTTTTATTGAGAGACAGAGAAGACAAACCACGTGATCGGGAAGAAAGACTTTCTGGTTCTTTAGAAAGGAACAAATTTTATTCTTTTGCACTGGATAAGACAATCACACCAGACACTAAAGCTTTGCTTGAACGAGCGAAATCTCTCTCTTCATCCCGAGAAGAAAATTGGTCTTTTCTGGACTGGGACTCCCGATTTGCTAATTTTCGAAACAACAAAGATAAAGAAAAGGTTGACTCTGCTCCAAGGCCTATTCCATCTTGGTACATGAAAAAGAAAAAGATCAGGACTGACTCAGAAGGGAAAATGGATGATAAAAAAGATGATCATAAGGAGGAAGAGCAGGAAAGACAGGAACTGTTTGCCTCTCGTTTTTTACACAGCTCCATCTTTGAACAGGACTCCAAGCGGCTGCAGCATCTGGAGAGGAAGGATGAAGACTCCGACCTCCCTCCTGGGAGGTCCTATGGGAGGCAGGTATCTGACGGACCACACACCACAAGCGAGTCAGTTCAGGAGCCGGTCGTTCTCTTCCACAGCAAATTCATGGAGCTCACAAGAATGCAACAGAAAGAAAAAGAAAAAGACCAAAAACCCAAAGAGGTTGAGAAGCAGGACAATACAGAGAACCATCCCAAGACCCCAGAATCTGCTGTGGAGAACAAAGAGTCGGAGCTGAAAACCCTACTCCCAGCCAGGCTTCCCAGTGTCCCAGCTGTAACTGCAGAAACAGCATCATCCATGCCAGAGAAGACCAGTGAGCGGGTAGCCGAGGCATCTCCAGTGCCTCTGGAAGAGAAGCCTGTGGAGCCAGCTGCTGTTCCCGAAGAGATAAAACCGGGAGCTGAGCTGGCACCTGTTTCTGGGGAACAGCTCGAACAGGTAGATGTGCCCCCACGAGCAGACAGTGGCCACGAGGCTCCCGCGGCACCTCTCACCGTGCAAGATAACTCACCTATGGACCCCCCGCCAAGTATGGACGCCAAGCCTCCCACTCCAGGGCCCTCACTTTCCCAGGTGGAAAGCAATGTGGATCCAGAGCCTGCGAGTCCCCAACTGCCTTCCAAACCGAGCCAGAAGACTGAGGACGCTGAAGAGCCGAAAGCAGAAAGGCTAGACATAACTTCAAGCATTGACCCTGGAATCAATCAGAAGGCTGAAGTTGCTCCTGAGGCTCAGCCTCAAGCTTCTGAGGATGCAGAGATTGATCCTCCCACTGCTGCAAAAGATAAGAAGCCAAACAAAAGTAAGCGCTCCAAGACGCCAGTTCAGGCAACTGCAGCAAGCATCGTGGAGAAGCCAGTCACGAGGAAGAGTGAGAGGATTGACCGGGAAAAGCTAAAACGGTCCAGTTCTCCGCGGGGAGAAGCACAGAAGCTTCTAGAACTGAAGATGGAGGCAGAGAAGATTACAAGGACTGCTTCTAAACACTCTTCTGGGGACACGGAGCACCCTGAACCAAGTCTTCCAGTCAGCCGAACGAGGCGTCGGAATGTCAGGAGTGTTTATGCAACTATGAGTGACCACGAAAGCCGCTCTCCAGCCAAAGAGCCCACAGAGCAGCTGAGAGTGACCAGGAAGAGATTAGAGAGAGAGCTTCAGGAGGCTGCTGTAGTTCCCGCCACCCCTCGGAGAGGACGGCCTCCAAAAACACGCCGGCGAGCCGAAGAGGATGACGAAGCTGAGACGAAAGAGCCTGCAGAAACACCCAGACCAGCTGAGGGGTGGAGGTCCCCGCGGGCTCAGAAAGCAGCTGGTGGCCAGCAAGGGAAAAGGGGGAGAAATGAGCCTAAAGTTGAAGCAGAGCGAGCAGAGGCTGCTGCTGAGGCGCGGCACCAGGTAAACGTGAAAGAGGGCAACACCAGATCCAAGGGGGATAAAGAGGAAGCAGGAAGTGACCCGAAACGAGACAGAAAGGAAATGGTCACCAACAAACATGTGCCTGACTTTGAAGCCATGGAAAAAAGGCCAGTCCCCGAAAAAAACTCCAAATCAAAGAGAGGAAGATCTCGAAATGCACGCGGTGCAGTGGACAGAGCTGCGCATCTGAGAAGTGTGGCAGTGGCCGCCAGTCCCAGTGTGGCCCTTGCAGGGGGGCCAGGGCAGGCAGTGGACAGGGAAGCTGGGATTGTGGCAATCTCCCCCGAGAAAAGCGAGAGTCCCCAAAAGGAGAGTCGTTCCTCATCCCAGTTGAAAACCACTCCAGTGGATCCCGACAGGGAATCGGGGAGAGAGGATCTGTCTGCCCCCCGGCTGTCTGCAGAGGTGGCTCAGTTGGCCAAGCAGATGGAGCTGGAACGGATGGAGTTGGAGCGGGCTGTGGAGAATATTGCAAAGCTTGCTGACACGGCCCCCCGGGGCACTTACAAGGCAGCAGCTATGGGAGCTGTGGGTCCTACTACGGAGGACAGGGACAAACCCGCCCCTCAGGCCAGTGAAACAGAACTGGCTGCGGCCATTGGTTCCATCATCAGTGACATCAGTGACTCCCCTGCCCCGCCCCCTTTCCCTGCGGACTCTCAAACAGATCTGCAGTCCCCAGGGGAAGCCACAGAGCCTGAGACCCACCAGGCCGTGTCTGGAATCGTAGAGGCTGCTTTGGAGTCTTCTAGACCTGCAGTCAGTGCCCCTGTCCCCTCAGCAGCTGCCAAGGAGGCTGGGGGGGATGGCAGTGACACCTCTCGCCTGCCCCGGCAGGCCAGAGGGTCCAGAGAAGGAGCAGTCGCTCTTGTCCGCAAAGACAAAGGGCGCCAAAAGACTACAAGGTCCCGGCGTAGACGGAATACAAATAAGAAGGCCAGCGCTGCAGCCGAGCCTCCCAGCGCTGCAGCCGACCCCCCTGCCACCGTAGAGACAGAGACTGACCAGGCTCAAGGCGAGAGCCCCACTGTGAGTGAGGAGACCACGATCCAACCCCCAGACTCACTGCAGGAAGACACACAGACTGAAAAGCCCCAAACTACCCCTCCTCAGGCCTGTGCTTCTGACCCGACCAAGACTCCACCCACAGAGGGTTTGCCTGAAGACAGCAATGCTGAAGAGAAGACGCCCCCCAAAGTGCCCACATCCCCGGCCCTCCCCTCCCTGTCCCAGCCAGTGCTGGCTGATGACGAGGCCCAGGCTAGGTTCAAGGTACATTCAATCATTGAAAGTGACCCTGTGACCCCACCCAGTGATTCGAGCCTACCCCTGCCCATACTTCCTTCTGTGACTGTAGCTAAGCTTGCTGCCCCTGTCCCCTCCGGGGCTGTCCCACACCAGAGCCCCCCAACGAAGCTAACAGAGTGGATCACAAGGCAGGAGGAGCCGCGGCCTCAGTCCACCCCGTCTCCAGCTCTTCCCCCAGACACAAAGGCCTCTGATGTGGATACCAGCTCCAGCACGCTGAGGAAGATCCTTATGGACCCTAAATACGTGTCTGCCACAGGCATCACGTCCACCAGCGTCACCACAGCTATCCCGGAGCCTGTGAGCGCCGCCCCTGCGCTGCACACGGCACTGCCCCCTCCAGTGGAAGCGAAGAAGCCTCCCGTAGAAGAAAGCCCCGTGGTTCCAGCCACGCAAGCTGCCGACACGCAGGCCTTGCAGCTCCCCGTGACCTCGGACAAGGAGAAGGTGGCTCCAGTCATCGCCCCCAAAATCACATCTGTTATTAGCCGGATGCCTGTCAGCATTGATTTGGAGAACTCACAGAAGATAACCTTGGCAAAACCAGCACCTCAGACCCTGACAGGCCTGGTGAGTGCCCTGACGGGCCTGGTCAATGTCTCCCTGGTCCCTGTGAACGCCCTCAAGGGCCCTGTGAAGGGCTCCGTGGCCACGCTGAAGGGGCTGGTGAGCACCCCTGCGGGGCCTGTGAATGTCCTCAAGGGGCCCGTGAATGTCCTCACCGGGCCTGTGAACGTCCTCACCACGCCGGTGAACGCCACGGTGGGCACGGTGAACACTGCCGCGGGGGCAGCGACAGTCACCGCTGCCACGGTTGCCTCTGGGGGCGTGACAGCCGCAACGGGCACGACCACTGTGACCACCGTGACGACCATGACAGGTGCCGCCGCCGCCACCCCCGCCACCCCGGTGGCGAAAAGCAAGCAGAGGTCAGGCAGCAGCGAGAACAACCGCTTCCACCCCGGGGCCATGTCTGTGATCGATGACCGGCCCGCAGACACGGGCTCCGGGCCGGGGCTGCGTGTGAACACTTCAGAAGGGGTTGTGTTGCTGAGTTACTCCGGGCAGAAGACTGAGGGCCCACAGAGAATCAGCGCCAAGATCAGCCAGATCCCTGCAGCCAGTGCCGTGGATATTGAATTCCAGCAGTCCGTGTCCAAGTCCCAGGCGAAGGCCGATGGTGTCTCACCTTCGCAGCCCACGCCCAAAGGCCCTCAGGCCCCTTCTGGCTTTGCCAACGTGGCCACCCATTCCACCCTGGTGTTGACGGCGCAGACCTACAACGCGTCTCCTGTCATTTCGTCCGTGAAGGCCGACCGTCCGGCCCTGGAGAAGCCGGAGCCCATTCACCTCTCTGTGTCCACGCCCGTTACCCAGGGCGGCACAGTGAAGGTCCTCACGCAGGGCCTCAACACGCCCCCGGTGCTGGTGCACAACCAGCTGCTCCTCACCCCGAGCATAGTCACCGCCAACAAGAAGCTCGCCGACCCCGTCACGCTCAAGATCGAGACCAAGGTCCTTCAGCCGGCTAACCTGGGCTCCACGCTCGCCCCCCACCCCCCCCCAGCTCTGCCCAGCAAGCTCCCGACGGAAGTGAACCATGTCACCTCAGGCCCTAGCACCCCGGCAGAGCGGGCGGTCTCCCACTTGGCAGCCACCAAGCCAGAGGCCCACTCTCCTCGACCCAGCGGGCCCACGCCGTCCTTCCCGAGGGCATGCCACCCCAGCAGCACCGCGTCCACCGCGCTCTCCACCAACGCCACGGTCATGCTGGCCGCAGGAATCCCCGTGCCTCAGTTTATCTCCAGCATCCACCCTGAGCAGTCCGTCATCATGCCGCCCCACAGTATCACCCAGACTGTGTCCCTTGGCCACTTGTCCCAGGGCGAGGTGAGAATGAACACACCCACATTGCCTAGCATCACCTACAGCATCCGCCCAGAGACCCTCCACCCGCCTCGAGCCCCCCTGCAGCCCCAGCAGATAGAGGTCAGGGCCCCGCCCCGGGCTGGCACACCCCAGCCGGCCCCTGCCAGCGTTCCCGCCCTGGCCTCCCAACACCCACCTGAGGAGGAGGTGCACTACCTCCCCGTCGCCCGAGCCGCAGCCCCCGTGCAGTCCGAGGTGCTGGTCATGCAGTCTGAGTACCGCCTGCACCCATACACCGTGCCCCGCGACGTGAGGATCATGGTGCACCCACACGTGACTGCGGTCAGCGAGCAGCCCAGGGCCACCGAGGGCGTGGTGAAGGTGCCACCTACCAGCAAGGCCCCCCAGCAGCCAGCCAAGGAAGCTGCCAAGACATCAGATGCCAAAGCAGCCCCGGCCCCCACCTCAGCTCCTCATGGCGAGGCCCGCATCCTCACCGTCACCCCCAGCAACCAGCTCCAGGGGCTGCCTCTCACCCCACCGGTGGTTGTGACCCATGGGGTGCAGATCGTGCACTCCAGCGGAGAGCTCTTCCAAGAATACCGGTACGGCGACATCCGCACCTACCACGCTCCAGCCCAGCTCTCCCACACCCAGTTTCCCGTGGCCTCCTCCATCGGCCTGCCCTCCCGGACCAAGACTCCGGCCCAGGTGAGCAAGGCAGTCTCAACTTCCTCTGTGCGTGCACTCGGGCATCCCCCACGGCATTGAGGTGGAGATATCAGGAGGTCAAGATGGTGGGCGAGGTGCGGGCGAGCCACACAGGCCCTCCAAAGGGGCTTCCTATCCGCAGTGGTGGTCGCGTGTGAGAGGGTCAGATCGTGACAGAGCGAGCTTTGGCTGTGGGGAGGAGCTTCGTGGGAGTGCCTGGCCCGGTGGATCCTGCCTGTGGAGTCAAGAGGGAGGTAGTAGGCAAGCAGTTGGCCAGAAGCCGCGCTGCTGGCTCACGCTCGCTCCCTCCCGGGCACACACAGGAGCCTTTTCCCGGGTCCCGAGGGGGGGTTCTTGGTTGGGTTGGTGGCAGGGCTTGTGTGTAGCTGACACTGACTGTCCCTCTCTGCCTTCCCACCTCTAGGGACCCCCGGAAGGTGAGCCCTTGCAATCCATACCTTCCGCACAGCCTGCCTCACCCATGTCATCAGCACAGCCTGTCCCGCCTCTGCCCTCCTGCCAGCCCGCGCCACTCAGCCAGCCTGGCCAGCCACCCAGCAGCAAGAAGCCGCAGGTCTCCCAGGAGGCAAAGGGGACCCAGACTGGAGGAGCAGAGCAGCCTCGCCTCCCGGCTGTCCCTGCAAGCAGGCCTTCAGAGCCCCACGCTCCGCTTCAGCGGGCCCAGGCGGAAACAGGCCCGGCGTCTCACCTTTCCCCTGTGTCTGTCACCATGAAGCCTGACCTCCCGGCCCTGCCCCCCCAGGCTGCCCCAAAGCAGCCGCTGTTTATCCCCACAACTTCAGGCCCCAGCACCCCACCAGGACTGGCTCTGCCGCACGCTGAAACCCAGCCAGCCCCTAGCCAAGATTCTTCTCCGCACCTAACTTCCCAGAGACCTGTGGACATGGTCCAGCTTCTGAAGGTAAGTGTGGCCGCCGCTGCCCTACCACCCTTAGTCTGCAGCCTGGGTCCGGCGCTGTCCAGTGTGGCCACCGGCTCACTTGTGCGCTCTTTTCCCTTGAGCAGAAGTATCCCATTGTGTGGCAGGGCTTGCTGGCCCTCAAGAACGACACAGCTGCTGTGCAGCTCCACTTTGTCTCTGGCAACAACGTCCTGGCCCATCGCTCGCTGCCCCTCTCCGAAGGAGGCCCCCCGCTGAGGATTGCCCAGAGGATGCGGCTGGAGGCATCACAGCTAGAAGGGGTTGCTCGAAGGATGACAGTAAGATGCGGGGCCCCAGGGAAACACTACTCCCTTCTCCCCCCCACTGCCACCCTGTCTCCTGACATTTCTCCAAGTGGATAATAACAGACATTTCTCTACCTTGGGGGTGGGGGTGGGATACTTGGAGACGCCAAGCAAGGCCATTTGCTTTGAGCAGTTAGGTGAGCTTATGACACCATATCCTAGATGAAGGGTGCGGCGGACTTGACACTGGGTTGGACATGTGCTCCTGTTTGGCTAGGAGACCCCTGACCACTGGCCTCTGTCCCAGGTGGAGACAGATTACTGTCTACTGCTAGCGCTGCCCTGTGGTCGTGACCAAGAGGACGTGGTGAGCCAGACAGAGTCCCTCAAGGCTGCCTTCATCACCTACCTGCAAGCCAAGCAGGCAGCAGGGATCATCAACGTTCCCAACCCTGGCTCCAATCAGGTTGGTCCTCTGGGCCTGTGGCCCCTCACCCCAGGTGTGTGTTCAGAGGGAGGCGTGGTCTTGGCCTGCCAGGCTAAGCTCTCAGGAGGTGAGGGAGGGGCCTGTGCCTGAGAGAAGCCAGAGAACTGACAGGACTGTCCGGAGCTTGCTGCGGAAGTGATAGCAGGAGCCAGGTGCCTGGGAATAATAAGATTGCAGGCACCGGCTGGGTTCCGCCTGTGGGGATCGTGATCCAGGGTGGGCAGCTGGTCTGGCTTGCCCTGGTGCTCTGCCTCTCTAGGACTTGTCAGACCCACGTGGAGTTGGGGAGGGTGATGTGAAGACCAAGAGTCCCACTCTTTTCTCCTTCTCCAGCCTGCTTACGTGCTGCAGATCTTCCCACCATGTGAGTTCTCTGAGAGTCACCTGTCCCGCCTGGCTCCTGACCTCCTTGCCAGCATCTCCAACATCTCCCCCCACCTGATGATTGTCATCGCTTCCGTGTGAGGCATTGAGTGGTCATCACCCGAGGTATCTTCCCGAGGCCCTGCTGCAGAAAATGCACCCAACACCGGACAGGACAGCCCAGCAGGCGAGGGGAAGCTGCTGATGGGGACAGACTGCTGCCGGACGCCGGCTTCCTGCACTCGCCCACCACTCAGCTCCAAGGGACAGACCTCTGGGCGGAGGTGCTGCTACTTTGTATGTTTACACGACACTTTCACCCAGGACAGACCACCGATGGATGGACAGACTTGCAGACTCCTAGGGGCTGGGTTTCTGTCTCCTCTTTTGGGAGAAAAGGAACAGAGCAATGGAACGAATTTTTTTTTTTTTGTTTTTGTTTTGGGCTTTTTGGGGGTTTTTTTTTTGTTTTTTGTTTTTTTTTTTAAAGAAACAAGAGAACTGCCTTTGCACTAAATTAGTGACTTGGATTTTTTTGCACAGTGAAGATAGGCTGTGACACTGGACACTTGGTGTACATGAACACACATCACGGACTTTTAATGCTGGAACCTTGGGGGTCAAGGAACATTTCATTGGGATTTTTTTGCCCCGCCTCCTCCCCTCCCTGCTCATTGGATGTATCACCTTTCCTAATTCTCCTGCCGCCACCACCTTTGACTCACGAGGATGTACAGTTTACAATCAAACGAGCAAACAGAAGGATTTCCTTTCTTGGTGGGACATGCAGAACTTGGGGTGTGTATATATAAATATATAATATATATAAATATATATAATACTGACTTAAAAATCAATTTCCCCGACATACATTTTTTTTAATCTGTGCCAAAAATGTGTTTTCAAAGAAAATCTTATTTTCATACTCAGACTTTGTACCGTCACTCATTGTCTCAGTGCGCTTCACCGCAGCCCGGGTCTTCCTGCCACGTGGAAGTGTCTGTCACCCAGCATCTGTACAGGACCGGCCAGTCCCTCCTCCTGCGACCCGGACCGCACCCAGACCTCCTAACACTATTAATTTATGAAACTGTTTTCCTCAGCGCAGTTTTGTTTTGTGTGTCCATTGGATTACAAACTTTATTAAAAAATACAAAACACCTCAAGTGTGAATGAGTGTGATCGTGGCCGGAGTGGGAACAGCAGGGTCCCTGGCTTAAAATAGAAACATAGCCCTCACCCAGCTTTGCTTTCTTTGCCCTGCCCCAAATCTGTAAACAGGGGCCTCCTCCCCAAAGAGCATTTTACCAATACACAAGGATTTGGTCATGAGTGCTGAACTCAGGAAATAGTTTTCATTGTAGCAGCGTGGGTACCGGTGACATTTCTGTCCTTGCTGGTCCCCAGGCAATGTGGAAGGCACTTCAGGCAGGTCTCAATACAGAAACACATGCACACACCCAGCAAACTTGGAGCCTAAGGGTTCGTTCCCTTCCTTTGTCTGCTAGTAGGGTGCCAGTGGTTCCCATGTAGACAGGAGGGTGGAGGGGGCTCGGTCTAGGTTCCCTTGCAGTTCAGTTGTGAAACCAGGATTCAGGAACATCTTCACTGCGCTTAGCGGGGCAAAAACAGGCCTGCACACTTTTACCTGTGAAAGAAGGGTCCCAGCTGCTAGGACAAGCTGTGGGGAGGAGGTAGAGGCAGGAACTCCAGGCTTGGGGGGGGGAGGGGGCCGGGGAACAGCCCACCAAAAACTCCACTTTGCTCCTTTGGTCCCTCCAGGACAGCCTGGTGATGGGTTCAGAATCCACCAGGGCAAGTAAATGCTTCTAAAAGACTACTGGCAGCACCTGAGCTGGCGGCTCACATCTGTAACCTCATCTACTTAGGAGGCTGACAGGTGAAGACAGTGGTTCTAAACCAGGCTGGGTAGAAAAGTCTTGTGAGACTCTTGTCCAATTAACCACTGAAAAACTCTTGTGGTAGAGCATTAGCCTTGAATGAAAAAGCCAAGGGAGCTTGTGAGGCCCTGAGTTCAAGTCCCATTTTGGGCACGTGTATGTACACTTGCATGCACACACACACACACACACACACACACACACACACGGCATTGGCTTGGCCTCTGCTCGAGCAGGGTGGCTGGTGAACTAAGCACAAAGCACTAAGCACTGCTCCGGGTGGCGTGTTGGGGTTGGGCCTGGCATAAACCCAGAAGTGACCAAAGAGGGTAAAGCCACTGAGACCTTGAGGCTGGGTTCTTGGGGCAGCCAGCAGCAGGGAGGGGTGCAGGTTACAACACTGCTGAAGAGAGCACAGGCTTGGGGTACTAGGACTAGGTTCTTCCCACACCCCAACCTGGGCCACATTTGGATCCCGGGGCCCCAGTCCCATTCTGCAGGAGGAACAGACAGCAGGGCTTCCCTAGGTTGGCTCCAGGGTGGTGCAGCCCTTCTGTGGCTCCGGCCGGCAACCCTCCCACCCCCCACAGGGACCTAAAAGCAGCATTAGAAAATAATCAAATTTATTCTCTAGGGAAGGGGGGGCGGGGCACCCATCTCAGTTTGAGGGGGCCATCCATCCTTAAATAAACTCAGGAGAAGGGCTACCGGCTCACTCAGCAGGTGGTGGGCATTCAGAAGCTGCAGGTGGGGTCTCTGCCAGTGCGGGCTGGCCCTCGGCCCCATCCCGAGGGCGGAAGACCAGGTCCCCGGCCTGCAACACCTGCCCGGCCGGCCAGGTGCTGCCTGGCCCGTACTGCTGGTAGAAGTCCGCATCGGTCTGGAACATGACCAGTGCCTGGGCCGTGTGGATCCGAACATGCTGAGCCAGGCTGTTGGCATCCAGAAATTTGTCCCCACAGGAGTCACAGGCATAGAGGATGTGGGTGTTGGGGTCTGTGGAGGTGAGGCTGCAGTAAGTGTGGGAAAGGCTCTGGGTCCACCAGCGTCCGCACCCTGGGTGCCCTTCTCACCTTCCTCCTGCACTTGCTTCACCGCCTTGCTGATCTCCGCTTTAAGTACTTCCGTCTCGTCAGCCGTCACTGCGGCCCCCACTGGCACCACTGAGGGCAGAGTCAGCAGGGCCTGAGGCAGCAGCCACAGGCAGGCGCGCCCACCCGCCCTCCGCTGCACCTGCGGTCCGCCGCCTCGGGCCCCCTCCTGCCAGCAGCCCACACCTGTGAGCTGAGTGACGGCGGTTGCAGCCAGTGCCTCCGTGGCCAGCGTGACCATGTCATCCACAGTGACCACGCTGACCTCGCCACCCTCTTCTGGCTCCAGGATTTTGATGCCCGCCTTGCCCTGGTGCACCGTCTTCACATGGGAGCGCAGGTTGTCCACGCGGTTGAACCCTCGGCCGCACTTGTCACAGAGGTAAGGCTTCTCTCCTGCCTCGGGGAGGGGCATTGGGGGGCTGTGGGAAGCCTCTACCCTGCACAGCCCCAGCGCCCCAGCTTTCCCGCAAGATACCAGGGCAGACACCAGGGCAGCCAGATGCTCCTGAAGCTCAGAGGCCCTGGCCTGGTCTGAATCCAACTGCTCCCAAGGGTCCTGTGACGAAGGGCCAGCACCTAATGCTCACCAGTGTGGATGATGATGTGCTTGGACAGGTCTCCCACGTTCACAAAGGCCTTGCTGCACACGCTGCATTTGTGCGGGCGGATGTTATCATGATGCCGGATGTGATTGGCCAACTGGCTGGACTGGACAAATCTGCAAGACAAGGGTTCACGCTGGTTGGCCTAGTGGGGAGCAGGGACTGGGCCCCTGGCGCCAGGGTTAGGGGAGCAGGGTAGGGAGCACCTCTTGCCGCAGCGCTCGCAGACGTAGGGCTTCTCCCCTGTGTGCTGACGCACGTGGGCAATGAGAGAGCTGGCCTGGGTGAAGGCTTTGCCACAGATGACGCACTGGCACGGCTTCTCTCCTGGGGAGGAGCAGGGGAGTGTGTTGGCGCCCGCCTCTGCCCCTCTCGCTCGCTCCCCCCCTTGTCTCTGGCCACCCACCAGTGTGGATCCGGACATGCCGCTGCAGCGCGCCGGGGTCTGCGAACTGCCGCTGGCAGTGGATGCACACATACGGCTTCTCCCCGCTGTGGATCCGCAAGTGCCGCTTGAGGTTCCCTGTGGCCAGGCGAGAATAAGGGTGTGGTGGGGGCGAGGGCGTGGCAAGGGTGGTGAGAACTCGGGTGAGGGAGTGGCTGGAGGAGAGGGAGGTGCGGTGAGGGCTGGCTGGGGGAGAGGGAGGGCGTGGTGGGGGAGAATGGTTGAGTGTCTGCACCGGTGTGTAGAGGGAAGGATGTGGGGGGGTGGGCTGGGGTGTGGTGGGGGCGAGGCGTGGAGAGAATGATGAGCGTTCTGGTGGGAGCCAGAGCAGACCAGTGCAAGGTAAGGTGAGCGTGGAGGTGGGGGTTCGCGGGGGTAGGGCGAGGCGTAGGAGTGGGGCCTACCTGAGGTGGTGAACTGCTTCCCGCACTCCCGGCACTTGAGGGGCCCGTCGGCGATGTGGATCTTCAGGTGTGCCTTGAGGTTCCCCACCTGCGCCAGGTAGGGGCTCAGAGCGTGGCCTTGGACTCCTGGCCCCTCCCACCGATGATGCCAATCGGGAATGGGGCTGGGCACCACCTCTGCCCAGGACCACCCACGGCTCTCCCGCCCTTGTCCCCCCCCCCCTTGCTGCCGAGGCCTGGCCTGCAGGCCTCGGGGAGGCACGGACACGCGCGCACCCCGCACCTGGTTGAACTTCTTGTCGCAGTGCGGGCACTTGTGCTCCTTGTCCGTGTCGTGCGTTTCCAGGTGGCGCATCTTGGACGTGGGATCGGAGAAGGAGCGGCCGCAGTAGTCGCACTGGTACGGCTTCTCCCCGCTGTGCACCAGCTGGTGGCGCTTGAGGTTGCCGGACGTGGTGAAGAGCTTGCCGCAGTCGCCGCAGCGGTAGCGGGCCTCGCCCGAGTGCCGCTTCTTGTGCAGGTTCAGCAGGCTGATGAGCCGGTAGCTCTTGCCGCACTCCTCGCAGCCGTAGGGCTTCAGGGGGCTGCGGGGACGAGGGCGGCAGGGGCTTGCGGGTGGGCGGCGGCAGGGGGGCCCGGGG